CACCGGAGGGGGAGGAGGTGAGCGTCGAGCCAGCCGAGCTGAGTTGGCTGAGCTCGCGGAGCTGAGCACAGTCCGCGACAGGCTATTGCCAGTGTTCGCGCTGCGGCGCCTGGTGACAAGGCACGGAGTCGGATGAAGAGTCATTGTAGCCGGCCGTGGCACCAGTGGTGTGGGGACGAGAACCCACCGATGATCATGTAGAGCAGCCGCCGGAGGGGGAGGAGGTGAGCGTCGAGCCAGCCGAGCTGAGTTGGCTGAGCTCGCGGAGCTGAGCACAGTTCGCGACGGGCTATTGCCAGTGTTCGCGCTGCGGCACCTGGTGACAGGGCACGGAGCGGAACCCGAGTTGCCGCCCGTGTCGACCCGCAAGCACTTCAACGCAATTTCAGAGAGCCAACTCCTCGTCATTGCCTGCGTCCACTTCGCGGACGAATTGTCCTAGTCGTCTTATTTGCTAGATCCGGCACCGCGACCACTACCAGTGCTCAACATTGGAACGGAACGGGGAGGGGAATCGATGAAGAGCGGAGCGGAGAGTGAGAGAGTGAAGCTAGGGTTTGGTATGGGTGGGTTTTTTAGCGGGGACAGAGTAGGGTCCATGCGGGTCAGGTGGGACGGGATGATACGGTGGACGTGTCCGAGCTGCCTCATATCCGCGACATATATGAGGAGTGGGTATGAGGGTGCCACTCAACCCAATTGGGTCGGGAAAAGTGCCTGGTCACTTACCGGGTCGTCTTCCGGATCAGTATAGGGAGTCTGACTGTAGATGCTCTAATATAACAAGAGAGACCACATGTGCCACAGTAAAATTAAACAAATAGTGATGTAAATGTGGTGAGCGGTGTGGCCTTTTTCAAGGCAAGGATACAATAGAACATCCAAAGTATTCCCTCCTTTGTGGTCTAGTCATGGGCATTGGCCTTGCTTTGTTCAAGGAGAGTCACCCTCAACGTGTCGGGTGTGCACTGATCTTATCTATGTGGCCACCTTCTGATAATATCCATTCTTGTATTAGTTGGAGCAACTCCATCTTCCAACAGTGCGGCGCTTTTCGAGCTAGCCGAGGAGATATGGGTCTTCTTGGGAGATGGAATTGGGTGGTTGTGTGGTGCCGGTGTCCTTAATTGTTTGGAGATGGCATACCCTCTCTATGCCGGTTGTCCTGTCTCCTCCAGAGTTGGCATGTACCTAGTCCATGGTGCTTCGTCCGCGAAAGAGGGATTCAACGTCTTTAGCTAAATGTTTGTTGTCTTTCTTGCTTGAAGCATGTGAACTTTGTTGGTTGCTTTCCCACACCTTTATCTTAGCATGTTTTTCTTTTACTTTGTTGTCTGGTGTTGGTTATAATCCTGGCTGATTGGTGGTTTTGCTAGAAGATCGACCGTTACTATTGTTGCTGAAGAGAGCGTGTTTTCCTTGAGCCTCCTCACAATTACGAACACTACTAAGCAATATTCTCCTTTATGTATCTTGAGGGCAGTGCACCGAGACAGTGTAAAAAGGCACCATGACAGTAACCTTAAGTTCTACACGTGTAGCTGGCTTTCAGTGTGGAATGCGCAAACAAAGCTGTAGGATTTGATGCGGTTGGTTACCTCGACTCCATGGCAGTTTCAGCTATAATCTAAGACTCGGCTGGATTTTTCAACGCGGAATGGTAAGCTAAGATCTTACGATGTTTTAGACAAGCTGTATCACATGGGATCCTGATACCTCCCGATCTTACTATGACAAAGCTAAAAGGATAATTTTCATAGACTACTCATCTCTTACCCAACAATGTTGGCGCTGAGAGTGGATTTATGGTTTCCTGTATCAGAGTATGTGGTGATATGCTACTCTGGCTGGTGGATTTATTTATAAAGTCGGGGGTCTATCATTTTCTCTAAAAAATATGAGTGTTTTTAAGGTGCTTGTCCGCCAAAATAATTTCCAAGCTTGTGCTCCTTTCCCTCACATGCTCTTTCTTAAAGCATCTACGGTCGGATATATCAAATACCGCACCTTATACGGCCGTAGAAGTGTCTGGGTGCATCCATGGACAGTGACCAGATCAATCCTCAAATCACCGCGTCCACAATCATGGACCTCATATTCGATACCGTAAATCCATACAATCCATGCTACATGATAGAAACAACGTAGATGATCAATGAAATTCCGAAACATAGAACAAACAGACGTAGTACAAACGGCAAAAACATGACAGTTAATGCAGACCAAAAGACACAATTTAAATATCACAATTGAACCGAGGAATGGACAAAGATCTAAACTAAAATTACTAAAAAAATGCAAATAGAGATGGAGTGGGCCAAGCATCTTCACCACTTCCTCTTTGGTCATTTGCCCTTTCGGTCACCAAAGCGTCTCCAACCCTTCGTGTAGGCTTCGGCGGCGGAGGGATGGTGGGTCGTCGGATGAAGAGTCGTTGTAGCCGGCCGTCCTCCGGATGGTGTGGTTCTGCTACTTTGCCACCTTGGAGGCTTTCACTGCCACCGCTGCCTTCTCTGCCTCTTCACGCTCCTATTGCTCGATTCATACCAAGCCGGAGTGTCTTGCCGTTCTTCCCAAGGAGTCGGCGGTCGCACCTCTATGCCATCATGAGCGAGTGGCAGAGAACATTGCAAGGAGGTTGTCCTCCGCATCGGGCTCCGGCAATCTGCGTTAGGGCGGGGGAGGATGTGGCCACCTATGCCATCATTACCCTCTCCTTAGGATGTTGCCTCTCGCGGCAGGTGGTGCATGCCGCCAAATCTAGCATCCTCGTCCGTGGCACCAGTGGTGTGGGCACGAGAACCCACCGATGATCATGTGGAGCAGCCCCCGGAGGGGGAGGAGGTGAGCATCGAGCCAGTCGAGCTGAGTTGGCTGAGCTCGCGGAGCTGAGCACAGTGCGCGACGGGCTACTGCCAGTGTTCGCGCTGCGGCGCCTGGTGACAGGGCACGGAGCGGAACCCGAGTTGCCGCCCGTGTCGACCCGCAAGCACTTCAGCGCAATTTCAGAGAGCCAACTCCTCGTCATTGCCTGCATCCACTTCGCGGACGAATTGTCCTAGTCGCCTTATTTGCTAGATCCGGCACCGCTACCACTACCAGTGCTCAACATTGGAACAGAATGGGGAGGGGAATCGATGAAGAGCGGAGCGGAGAGTGAGAGAGTGAAGCTAGGGTTTGGTATGGGTGGGGTTTTTAGCGGGGACGGAGTAGGATCCATGCGGGTTAGGTGGGACGGGATGATACGGTGGACGTGTCCGGGCTGCCTCATATCCGCGACATATATGAGGAGTGGGTATGAGGGTGCCACTCAGCCCAATTGGGTCGGGAAAAGTGCCCGGTCACTTACAGGGTCGTCTTCCTGATCAGTAGAGGGAGTCTGACTATAGATGGTCTAATGTAACAAGAGAGACCACATGTGCCACAGTAAAATTAAACAAATAGTGATGTAAATGTGGTGAGCGGTGTGGCCTTTTTCAAGGCAAGGATACAATAGAACATCCAAAGTATTACCTCCTTTGTGGTCTGGTCATGGGCATTGGCCTTGGTTTGTCCAAGGCGAGTCACCCTCAACGTGTCGGGTGTGCACTGATCTTCTCTATGTGGCCACCTTCTGACAATATCCATTCTTGTATTAGGTGGAGCAACTCCATCTTCCAATGGTGCGGAGCTTTTCGAGCTAGCCGGGGAGATTTGGGCCTTCTTGGGAGATGGAATTGGGTGGTTGTGTCGTGCCGATGTCCTTAGTTGTTTGGAGATGGCATACCATGTCTATGCCGGTTGTCTTTTCTCCTCCAGAGTTGGCATGTACCTAGTCCATGGTGCTTGGTCCGCGAAAGAGGGCTTCAACGTCTTTAGCTCCATGTTTGTTATCTTTCTTGCTTGAAGCATGTGAGCTTTGTTGGTTGCTTTCCCGCATCTTTATCTTAGCATGTTGTTCTTTTACTTTGTTGTCTGGTGTTGGTTATAATCCTGGCTGATTGGTGGCTTTGTTAATTTAAAGTCTCTTTTCTTTAGAAAATATACATTCTGGATCAATTAATGTCATACAGTAAGCACATGTAAGCGATGGGCGACAGCAAAATATCTTTACCGACATAAATGATGTGCGCTTTTTAATTATTCTGAAGTGTCGGTCGGCGTCTAACATGTTATCATGCTGCACTCGTGAAAAACCAATTTAAACATGTGAAAGATAATGACTACCATAGTTGTTGGCATGAAAACACGTGACAATTATTCTCCTGCATAATGTTAAATTTAAACTTTCTGAAAGACCAATTTAAACATGTGAAATTTAAACTTTCCGAAAGACCAATTTAAATAAGTACTTTGCTGCATAAGTTGCGAAAGTGCATTTTAAACATGTGAAAGACCAATTTAAACATGTCAAATGCCCTTGAAAACGCGTGACAATTACTCTGCTGCATAATGTTAAATTTCTGACAATCTTTCTACTAACATGATAATCTTTTCTTTACAACATGCCAAATCTTTATACAATAACATGATAAATATATCTGGTTTAGCATGACAATTTCTCGAGCTTTCGTTGAGAATGGTTTTCTGAGAGAACACTCTCACATCACGGCGTCCACTCGGATGACCACGATGAGAAAAATATTACAACTTGCGTGAGATATAACTATATAAGTGAATAAATTATTTACACCTTTTGTGATGTTTTGTTGTTTATTCACAAAAAATGGTGGTGTTCTGTTGTTGAGAATCAAAGCCTTTTTCGATGGCTTCCGTGCGGTTGTATTATTATTTTCAGTTCTACTGCATCGCACACACACACAAGAAAGTCAACACCCAGAAAGTTCAAGGGAAGTCTGCATCCGCCATTGTTACTGTGCAGAGAGAGCATGCGCCTTGGCCCTGGGTCATTGTGGTTGGTCATGGAGGCAATGTCCGCATCGGGGGTCGTTAAGGAGGCCATCCGGAGTGTTGCGGCGGCCGTAGGTAGCCCGATGGTCAGGTTGTGGAGGAACTCCAAACCCGACCTCGAGGAGATGCGGAGAACCCTTGTCCTGCTGGAGGCCGGCTTGAGAGACGCCGAGCGGCGGTCCAGGGACGAGGAGGCGGTGCGTTTGTGGCTAGAACAGGTCAAGGCCGTCGCTCGCGACATCTCGGCGCTCTTGAACAGCCGCCGCCGCCGTCGTGGAAGGTACACGGCATGCCGTCGTCAGAGACACGAGTCCTCTCGCCCTTTCCCCTTCTCATAGCTTAACCATGCCGATGAAGTACCAAATCTTCACAAAAAGAGGGTTGCGCCGGATCTAGAAGTACATATTTACTGCAGAATGAGTGGCTCTCTAGGATGAAGTGCAAACTGATAGAAATAAGACATTTGCAGGAAACCCTTCTTTAACTGTCTATTTCTTATAATTCACACGCTTATCCAACATGATTCTAGTACAAGAAAAACATGTTATTCCAAGTTACTAGCTGCTGCATGTTATTTCAAGTTACTAGCTATTCCAAATTTGTGCAACTTCAATCTCATGCTAGTAGTACTACCACCAAAGTACCAATTGCTACTATGCTACTTTACTATGTACACTGTTATTTCAAGTTATATATTTCTTCGAAGTTGAGAAGCCTGTGGGTCTGTGAACATGTCAGTGTCACTTATCATTGATTGCGGAAAATTAATTCAGTATCAAGCTAAATTCTTTCCATCCTCCCATCATATATGTTCTCTCTCAAGTTAAGTAAAACATTTTTACACCACATATGTGCTGACAGTGATAACTTGAATCTTCAACAGGGTTTTTGCAAAACTTAGTTTGGTTAAGAAGATAGAAAAGCTAAAGGAGAAACTGAAGGCAGTGGAAGAGAAACGCCATATATTTGGTTTCACCTTCCATAACAGCTCAACTATTGAGGATACATATGCTAAAAGGGAAACAATAGCATGTGTTGATGATGAATTTACAATTGTTGGTCGATCAAGAGAGAAAGAGGAGATAGTAAGGACTCTATTGCAGTCCGAAAGTAAAACGACCATTCTTCCCGTCCTTGGTCTTGGCGGAATGGGTAAGACCACTTTGGCAAAACTAGTCTTCAGTGATAGCAGAATGCAAGATTTTGAGAGGAGGGCATGGGTACATGTTTCCCAAAAGTTTAATATGCTAAGAATAGTAAAAGCTGTTATATCTCAATTTGAAGGGACTGCTGATGGCTTTGATGATCTGCAGTCTCTATACAATCAACTAGAGAAAATTTCTAGTGGCAAGAAGTGCTTAATTGTGCTGGATGACTTGTGCGAGAGTGACATTGAACTGTTGCGCAAACTGAAATTAATGGCGAACTGTGGAAAAGAGAGGAGAATGGTTAGGATAATTGTAGCAACTCGTATTGAAGCAATTGCACATGAATTGTCTACAGTTAGTCCTTATAAATTGAGGCCTTTATCGAATGATGACTGTTGGAATGTGTTCGAACAAATTGCTTTTCAGTGGACAAATGAAGGAGATCTGCATGTGCTAGAAGCTATTGGAAGAGACATTGCTATTAAGTGCAAAGGTTTACTCATGGCAGCTCATGCTGTTGGATCCATGCTTCATAATAAAAATGTTGACTTTTGGAAAGCTGCCAGAGATAGTAACACTTGGGATCAATGTTCTTCTCACATCGATGTCTTGCCGTCGTTGAGGTTGAGTTATGAGCATATGCCATCTTATTTGAAATCATGCTTTGCCTACTGTGCCATCTTCCAAAAAGGTTCCACCATAGATAAGGACAAACTAATTCAACAGTAGATGGCTCTTGACTTCGTTAAACCATCCCTACCAACCTTGTCTCCCAAAGCACAAGCAGAGGAATATCTAACAGAGCTTTTGGCAATATCTCTTCTTCAAAACTCAGTATCTTCCATGGTGATTTTCAAGCGTGTCTGGGTGTGTATGAAGGCATCCATGCTCGTGTGTGTACTTGACATACAATTTTGCACACTTTTACGTACTTTCAACCATTTATAATATCTAATAAGTCATAGCTCACTACAGATGAGTTTCCATTTCTGATAATGGGTGGTGGAGTTTGTACTATTTAATATTGTTTCATCCAGTAAAAACAAACTTGGTTCAACCTTCACCTGATATAAGAGCTTGTTTATTGAAATATTACTAATTAGTATTTACTTACTCTTATGCACCTTTAATTTTTTAGGTTACTTATGAGCACGCCAAAGATTCACATGAACTGAGCATGCATGATTTGGTGCATGACTTGGCATAGTCAGTTGCTGGTGATGAAGCATTTTATCTGCGTGCTATAAGCCAAAGTAGTTCACCCAGTGACAATTGTCATCATTTAGTTGTGGTTAGCTATGATAAAAGGATTTGCAAGTCATTGTCTGGAAAGGTTAGATCACTACATTTCAGAGATTTTGGTGGAAAACAACTTCCTGGCGATACATTCTCATTGACAAAAAACTTACGCATCTTGGATTTAACTGGATGTGCTCTGAGGAAGTTGACGGATCCAACTCGTCAATTAGCTCATTTGAGGTACCTTGATGCTTCACTATTGTGTGATAAAGATTTTCCTATGTGGATTACAAGCCTCTTGAAATTACATTATTTGAGCATACATGACTCTACCAAAATATCAGAGCTGCCGAAGTCAACCGGGAACATTAAAGATTTGGCACATCTGGATTTATCATGTTGTCGAAGCCTTGTGCACTTGTTGGAGTTTTTTCCAACCTTACAAGTCTCTTGCTATTGAACCTGGCAGATTGTTCCAGCCTTTCTGCATTTCCCAATACCATCTGTGATCTTTTGGATCTAGAGAACTTAAACCTCTCAGGTTGTAAACTGGGAGAACTACCTAAATTTCTGGGAAATCTTAAGAAGCTAAGGCTGCTGAACCTATCTAGGTGTTCCAGGCTTCGTGATTTACCTGATTCCCTCTGTAACCTTGTCTCCTTAGAAAAGCCAGACCTATCTTATTGTTCTGGTTTGCAAGAACTACCAAATTTCTTTGGTAACCTTCAAGAACTAAGCCTTTTGGATTTATCACACTGTTCCAATCTTTCTAGATTGCCTGATTCATTTGGTAATCTGAACAAATTGCAGCATTTAAACTTAGAAGCTTTCATGCATTACATGCCCTTGCACCACAGGGAGCTACGCTACTACTTCGACATGTTATTTCGAGTCCTATGTAACTTACTCAACCTGCAATACCTAAACTTCTCAGCATGCCCTGTTTCTGTTCTTCCTGTATCTCTTGCCAACCTCAGAATGCTTCACATGTTGAATATCTCGCATTGCATTTCCCTAAGAAAATTTCCACAAAAAATTCTTGAATTGCCAAACCTTAAATCTTTAGTTGTGAAGAATTGTTTCCCACCTATGGAAGATCGAATCAAGCGATCCTCACTGGCCAATGGTTTGATGTCACTGCCAAAGTTTTTTGTGTATAACATGCCTGGTGGTGTGTCCAGCAATATTGTGCAGCTTGAGGGTGCAGATGCTGAAGAGCTTGAGATAAAAATTTCTTGAAAATATGGTGAGTTTGGAAGAAGCTAAGAAAGTCAAGCTGGCATGTAAATAAAGGCTTTCCATGCTGTTTCTCTCTTGGACTGGCAATGTCGTCGGCCATCTTGTGGATGATGAGTCTTTGCTTGGGGAGCTCCTACCCCAACCACCTTGGAACAGTTTATTCTCCAAGGTTACATGGGCATCACATTCCTAAGTTGGATGTGCTCTGCTACATATCTTGCAAACCTTTCCAGAATAGAGCTGCATAATTTGCAGGGCTGCACCCAGCTACCATCACTTGGTCAATTACCTAGTTTTCAAGAGTTGTCTCTACTGTATTGCCAAACATCAAGAAACTAGATAAGAATTTCTGTGGTGGTACTCATGCATTCACAGAGTTGACAAAATTTGTTATGCAGGACATGGATAATCTGGAAGTCTGGTATACGAGAGTATCAATAGAGGGTGAAGATAAACGGAAAGAAGTCATGTTCCCTAACCTTGAAAAGTTGCTGATACATGGATGCAACAAGTTGATGGTGAAACCATGCCCGCCTATAGCTGCGGAGTGGGTCATAGAGGTTAATGATATTCTAGTATCATCATGGGAGGATAAAGGACATGAGAAAATTCTGTCCAATTCAATAACTTGTTTGGGAATATCAGATTGCCATGTCAGGCCTAACGGTTGGAGGCTGCTCTATCATCTTCCCGCCCTTCACAAGTTAAAGCTCTGCATGTGCAATGAGTTAAGCAGCTTACCAGGAAGCATTGAAGTCCTTGCCTCCCTTCGGTCGCTACTTGTGCTTGCATGCCACAATTTGGCAGAATTGCGGGAATGGTTTGGCAATCTCACCGCACTCCAAGAATTGGAAATCAACTACTGTCCTAAGCTCAAGTCCTTGCATGAGAGCATGCATCACCTTATATCACTCCGATTGCTGCACTTGGGTCACTGCGACAACATCTCAGCACTGCCGGGGTGGTTCGACAATCTCATCTCTCTCCAAAGACTTGTGATCTCGGGATGCCAATTGGTCAAGTCTTTACCACGATGCATGCAACATCACAGCGCTCCGAGGGAGCTACAGATCAGGCATAACCCTGAACTGAAACGGTGGTGTGAGTATTTCCTGGACGAGAAATAAATAGTGTGAATCAGATGAAAAAAGCAATCCTTGCTTAATCTAAAGAAGGTAATGTGCTTCTCGAGTTTCCTGTCCAAATTATTCCCTTGTTTACCTATATATAAATGCTTCGTATAGTTGCATATCGGCTCTGTCTGTACCTATTATATGTTCTTATATGCTTAAGCTACACGATTCCACTCGTAGGTTTGACAGTGTATTGCACAAATGTTGTGTTGATCAAATGTACCTGCTGATGTACTGGTCGTAGATCACATTGGCTCAACATCTAACATGCAGTAAGTAATGACTACAAACACTCCATGCATCTGCTGATCACTTTTGTCTCTCGCTCTGAATCTGATCTTCAGATTTCTGTTGTCCACCACAAAACAGTTTGATAAAGATACTATTGGATCTTGGAGGCCTTAGCTGTAGGCTGTAGGTGAGGATGAGATGCCAGATATGAAATTATGTAGGACGAGACATTTTTTTTCTTTTTTTCCCAAAAAGGGGGATTCCCCGGCCTCTGCATCGGAATGATGCATACGACCATCTTTATAGATAAACAAATAGGTTCAACAAAGTCTTATAGTCTGAAACAAAGTAACGGCCAGCTCACAAAGAGCCACAACGCCAAAAACCAAAAGCCAAAAGGCCACAACCGGCTAGCATAACAACGATAGGCAAACTAATCGCCTATCCTATTACATGACCGCCATCCAAACCGGTTGAAGATATCCCGTGCTACCATCTCCCACCAGATAGATCAGTAACCAAACGCTCCCTGGCCTCCGTCGGAGTGAGTAACGACCACATACGGATCAGCGCAGTGGCTCGGAATATAACCTGCAAAAAATGAATATTTGTTGTTCTGTTAAAAGCCGAATCATTTCTGCAGTTCTAAATTGCCCACAACAAAGCACATACTCCTACACGAATGTGTCCAGCTGTTTCGGACTCTATCCCAACAAGCCACATTTCGAATAACATATTGGCAGAATTCGGAGGAGTAATGTTAAAGGCAATGTGCACCGTATGCCACAAAACTTTGACCAACGGGCAATCAAAGAAAAGGTGTTTGATGGTTTCATCCCGATCACAATAACGACACCTAGTAGATCCTGTCCAGTTGCGCTTTATCAAGTTATCCTTTGTTAATATGACTTGTTTATGTACAAACCACATAAACACTTTAATTTTCAAAGGAACTTTTACCTTCCAAACATATTGGGAACTAGGAATGGCGCTACAGTTGATGACATTGATATACATCGATTTAACAGTGAACTCTCCAGACCTATTGAGCTTCCAACACAACTGATCGGGCAGATGAGACAACTGAACCTCCATCAGTCTACTCACCAGATGAAGCCACGCTTCCCACCGGTTGCCAACTAGCGTCCTCCTAAATTGAATATTAAGGGGGATGGACTGCATAATCGTTGCCAGAAGAGCATCACGTCGTTGAATAATACTATACATGAACGGATACTGAAGCGCCAACGGCGTTTCACCAAGCCAAGTATCCTCCCAGAAGCGCGTGGTAGTGCCATTACCGACTATAAACTTTGTCCTATTAAAGAAGACTAATTTGACTCTCATAGGACCCTTCCAAAAAGGCGATTCCATCAGTCTCACTGTCACCTGGGACAAAGTTTTGGACTGCAGATACTTACTACGGAGAATCTGCGCCCACGTGGCTTCAGTCTCAGCTGATAGCTTATACAGCCACTTACTGAAAAGACATTTGTTCTTAACTTCAAGATTCTCAATGCCAAGGCCCCCCTAGTCCTTTGGTCAACAGATGATGTCCCATTTGCCGAGTTTGTACTTTCTCTTTAGTTCATCACTCTGCCAGAAGAATCGGGATCGATAGAAGTCCAGCCTTTTCCTAACACCAACCGGGACTTCGAAGAAGGACAAGAGAAACATAGGCATACTCGTGAGCACCGAATTAATAAGAATCAACCGGCCTTCGTATGACATGAGTTTTCCCTTCCAACAACTCAGTTTCTTCTCAAACCGATCCTCGATACACTTTCATTCTCTATTTGTCAGCTCACGATGGTGAATGGGTATACCTAAGTACGCGAAAGGTAATGTCCCCAATTCGCATCCAAACAATTGCCTATAAGCCTCTTGTTCCTTATTGATTGTACCAAAACAGAACAACTCACTTTTATGAAAGTTAATCTTCAATCCGGTCAATTGTTCAAATAAGCATAACACCAGCATCATATTTCTCGCTTTTGCCAAGTCGTGCTCCATAAAGATGATCGTATCATCAACGTACTGCAGGATGGATACATCTCCATCAACTAGATGAGGCACCAAGCCACCCACCTGACCGGCCTCCTTTGCCCTACCTATCAAAATTGCCAACATATCAACCACAGTGTTGAACAAAATAGGAGACATTGGATTACCTTGTCTCAGGCCCTTGTGTGTCTGGAAATAATGACCTATGTCATCATTCACTTTAATTCCAACACTCCCTTTTTGCGTGAAAGATTCTACCTAGCGCCGCCAGGCTTCATCAAAACCCTTCATGTGTAAGGCCTGTTGAAGGAAAAGCCATTTGACTTTATCGTACGCTTTCTCGAAATCCATCTTGAAAACAACTCCATCTAGTTTTTTCGTGTGAATCTCGTGGAGCGTTTCATGAAGGACCACAACCCCTTCTAGGATGTTCTTGTCCGACATGAAAGCAGTTTGAGAATGTTGTACCACAGAATGCGCAATCTGCGTGAGCCTATTAGTCCCAACCTTGGTAAATTCTTTGAAACTAACATTAAGAAGACAGATGGGCCTGAATTGCTTGATTCTCACAGCCTCTGTTTTCTTAGGAAGTAGGGTTATCATTCCAAAATTAATTTGAAAAGGCTGAAGCTGTCCAGAGAATAAATCATGGAACAACGGCAACAAATCCCCCTTAATAATATGCCAGCACTTCTTATAGAACTCTGCCGGAAAACCATCCGGACCGGGAGCCTTATTGTTTTTCATCTGCGATATGGCCTCAAACACCTCTTTCTTAGAAAAAGGAGCATCCAAGATATCATTCTCAACAGCAGTGATATACATGTAGGACGAGACATGTCTGATGAAGAAGGCTCAGCTAGGTATGTTTTATCTGTTTATTTGTTTTTGCTTTTTTAATATATAATGGAAGGATCACCATTCTTTGTTTGTTTATTTTCTTTCATGTAATCTCAGTTTCCTTTTTGTCTGTGAAAATGTAAATTACTGAATAACCGTAGTCAGTCATCTTCATCTTGTTTCTCAACACAAACACTGGGCTGGAGATGAAACTACTCATGCTCGAATAAGTATAAGATCTACCGATCTTGTACTTTTTTATGTAAGAAAGCACAATCTACGTCATGCTAAAGTAAGCTTAGTTGGATGGGATACTATAGATCTTAGCCATCCATAATTCTCTCATCAGCGGCTCATGATTAAAATTGAATCCTTGTAGTTGGATGGGATAACCTCTTAGTTGCACACTTATATTATTATTAATTCAGAATCAACACCTACTGATCACGTCCTAATTGCTAGCTTTTGGCTCGCGATTTAACCATGCTTAATGATGATTGATGGTTTGTGAGGGAAAACACCAAATTTAATGATGGGTACATTTAAATTTTAGATATAATTTTCTAACATATGTATTATGTTAGTTATATTTTATCTGCAATATACTCCCTTTGTCTCAAAATATAAGATGATAAAAGTCTTATATTTTGAGATAGAGGGAGTACATTGCAAGAAAGGTGCATTGCACATACATGGTTGCTGGTTGCTTTTACAAAAAAAAGCAACATACTGTAGGCATCTCTTACCTTGTTTATTTTTGCGGGGGACGTCTCTTATCTTGTTGCCTTATGCGGGGTATTTCCTACCACTCTTACCACAGGCTGAAGTTGTTAAAGTTAGAGGATTTTAAGGCATGGGTCCAGTAGTGAAAATTATATTTTATGAGTTATGACCAAATTGAAGCTATATAACGCTCTATTATTCTTAATGAAATGCAGGAACACCCCTGCCCTTTCGAGGTTCTAAAGAAAACAAGATGAAGCTTAGGTAGCAACAGCACAAAACTGGAGCTTCATAGGAAGAGCAAGGCATTTAGCGAGACACATCATCATAGAAATATGCATCTCATGATTAGCCAGATCAATTTACAAATGCAAGAAATGTGTTCTGCGGATGAAACAATCTAATTTCCAAAGGTATGTGTGCATGGTGGTGTGGATTCGCGAGTGCTGTTGTGCTCTACCTTGTAATCGCGAAAAAAATTAACCAACATAATTAGCGAAAATACAAAGGTGAACATGGTTCCACGTGCACCCACGTGAATAGTAAAGTCAGAAAAATATATTACGGTATATAAAATAATTCTGAAATTTTGGGGTACCAAAGCTTGGTTGGCTGGTCTACTCACACATGAATTTTCGTGAAGAAATGACACCCATGGTATTCTTAGCGATGAAAACAAAATCGAATCTTACTATTACTTCAAACGTGTTTTTTATAGATTTTGACCTTTTTGACTAGAATACTACGGATGTTATTTCTTCATGAAAATCCACATGTCAGTAGACCAGTCGACCAAGTTTGATATCGGCCCCAAAATTTCAGATTTTTTTTCTAGTAATGTTTTCCTGTTCTAGGGGGAACATCTCCACCTTCTAATGATGCGGCGCCATTCGAGCTAGGTGAGGAGGCATGGGCCTTCTTCAGAGATGGAATTGGATGGTTGTGTTGTGTTGGTGTCCTTAGTTGTTTGGAGATGGCATACCCTGTTTGTGCCGGTCATGCTTTCTCCTCCAGAGCTGGCATGTTCCTAGTCCCTGGACCCTGGTGCTTCATTTGTGGAAGAGGGCCTCAACGTCTTCAGCTTCATGTTCTTTGTGTATCTTTCTTGCTTGAAGCGTGCAAGGCTTTGTTAGCTGCTTTCTCGCACCTCTGTATCTTAGCGTGCTGTTCTTTCTCTATGTTGGTTTGGTATGGTTGTAACCCTGGCCGGTTGATGGCTTCGTTAATTTAAAATCCCATTTCTCTAAAAATATACACTGTGAATTAATTGATGTCATACAGTAAGCACATCTCAGTGATGGTCGGCAGCAAAATATCTTTACTGGCATGAACAATGTGCGCTTTTCAATTATTCTCAAGTGCCGGTCGACATCCCGGCCAAATATCCATGCCCGGTAATGTTATCATGCTAATCAGGACCTGGCTGAGCTCGTCTTCCATCGCCGCCGCCATCGGTCACGCGTTGTGCCTAGCTGTTCCCATAGCAGCAGTACTGGAGGTGAAGTCCGCAAAAGCTACCACCAACCAGCGGCCAAGATCAAGCTGATCTCTCTATGGTCTGAATTCTGAAGAAAGTATCTCAAACTATAGTAGGTGCATGCATCAAATGTGAAAGGCTCCAAGCCAGCAAACGTTGTTGCCTATTTAATTAACCAGAAGCAGGCCAATATCACGGAACTGTAGTACTATCAAATATATGACTTCTGAAGATTTCCAAATTAAGAATCTAGAACATATAATATGCGACCATAGGCCAAGATTGGTGTTTCTTTTGGTTATAGATAGAAAACATGACCCTCTTTCTCGAAAACAAAATAACTGTAAACACATGATACAAGGCAAAACACTTGTTTAGCAAATTGGTCTGCGATAGCTAATGAAGCCATTCCTACAATTTGGCAGCAAAACACACAACTGTGAGTTTTCGGTGGTTGTTTTAATCTATTTGGTCAGTTAAACAATTCAATCTTCAAAATGTTATCTTGAGCTTATCTTTCTTAATTTTCAATGCAAAAAGTTTATAGCCGGGCAAATTGAAGAGTCACTTTCTATCATTGAGACGAATTGGTCTTTGCGGCATACTCCTGAGTCGTGATGTTGCATTATGGAGATGTTTGCAACTATGTTGAAACCAGCCGTCCCAAAATTCTTGTCTTAATTTTTTCTAGATACGGATGTATCTAACACTAAAATGTAACTAGATACATTTGTATTTAGACAAATCTAAGACAAGAATTTTGGGACAAAGGGAGTATCTTTTTTGCGCCAATTATGGTAGTCATTATCGCTCAACACCAAGTTCATATAGATTTTTTTGCATGATCAGACGATAGTGCTTCTACATGCGAGGAGCACTTAGCGTGTCTAATTGCTTGCTTGCAGCAGAATACATTTCATGAATATAGCTTCCTTTCTCTATAAATAGAGCCCTACACAAACATTCTCTCACACATCACGAAGGCAAAACCTAGCTAAGACCAAAATCTCCAATAGTAATCCGCTAGAAAACAAATGCCAGCATCCATGGCTAAGTCACAGGCATTGGCTGTAGCACTGCTGCTTGTCCTGGTGGTGTCCCTCACCGCAATAAAGGGTGTTCATGGCATCTGTGGCATGTCGAATGACGAATTCAAGCTTTGCCAGCCTGCGGCAGCAATGGAAAACCCAACAGAGAGTCCGTCAGCTGAGTGTTGTGCCGCGCTCGGGAAGGCCAACCTGTCGTGTATTTGCCGCTACAAAGGCATTGCCGGCATATGGCTGAGGATGTACCACATCGACGCGGACCGTGCTATGGCGCTACCCGGCAAATGCAGCCTCACCGTGCCCAGCAACTGCTCGTGATGATCGGATGCACTATCCATAAATGTATAGGTGTCGGTCGGTCTGTCTAGATATGCATCAACATTAATACGGCTAAATAAGTGGAGGAGCACTTGAAAGGTCTTATTGTTGTTGTGTGATTTGAACGCATGTCTGTCTCATTAATCTATTGTTGGACGATAGTATGTATGTATACTGGATGTGTAAGGAGGGCAAAAGTGCGTTAGATGTCCCATGATTTAATATTTTAAGTTGTGAGTTTGTTATTGCTCAAAAAATTGTGTCTTTTCAATAAGCACGTAAAAGTCTACCATAGTTTTTTCCCAATCGCTCTGCTAGGTAATTTGAATATTTTCATCAACTATCAGGGCGACCTGTACACATCCTTATAGTGTACTTGATTATTGGTAGGTATCCACAACAACATATGGCCAACTGCACTGATATATACGGTTGGCTGTACATGACGATGGTCACTACATTGATCAAAACGATTTTAGTTCCTAATTTCAGTTCCTTTTCAAGTTCGAAATTTTACTAGTCGGCCTCTTGTTGATTTTAGTTCGTAAGTTTGGTCCCCTTGCCATAGAATTCGTTCTAGCCTATTTCGCAACCTAATACATGTTTTGTGGTTTTGTAAAAAAAATCTCTGACCTGCACACCACATGTTACTTCACTAGATATTTATCATTTTTGTCACCCTCGCCAGCAAGTGGGTTCATGTGTAACAGTGTTAATGGTCTCGTGTTCAAATGAAAATAAATTAAATGCGACAAAGATGGCTTTCAATCAAAGAAAATCTTGGCGTGAAATTTTTGGGAGTCATATTCCTCCCCCGCCCCTCCTCTCCCCTCGCCGCTGCCAGGGCGTGCCAACAGGCGTGAAGCCCGCCTGGCGTGGGGGGGAGGGGGGCTCTCTCCTTGCAAGGCAGGATTGCCGTGGGGCGATCTACCTTGGCCGGAACGTGGCGTGGTGCGGGGCGCGGCGACGTTGGGCTGCCACAGTGGCGAGCGTGGAGGGTTGCATGGGGTGGGCTGCGTGTTGGTGAGGGCCGCGGTGGTCGTCGGCCGACTTGCCGGATCTGGATGACATAGGGGTGGCGGCACCTATGCTGGGCAGAGTCGGGCGGGATCCCCATGGGGCAGGCAGCCGTGGTGCGCACGATCTTGCTAGTTGCTCGTCAGCTTGGTCCTGTCGCCTGCGCTCGACCTAGATCGGCGCCGAGGCAGGTTGGGGAGGCATCCCTGAGGTGCTGGTGATGTGGCGTTGGTGGCTTCGTATGGCCTAGTGTCGGGCACAGCTACTTACGACGGTGGTGTCGAACGTCCCTTCTTGGCATGGAGGCGGGGCTTAGCGGTGGTGGTCATCTCCTCCGTCGGAGATGGTCCGCCTGAAGGCTATTTTTTAAAAAATAATACATTTTTTTTATTAATTTGCACAAATATTACGTCTGATATATAATTTTCGAAAATAATACACCGTCGGTCGGCTGCTGGCCGACTGGGCCTAGTCAGCCCACAGCAGGCTGACTGAGACCCTATCGGCTTCCTGCTGGCCGATTGGCCTGTCGGCCAGCTGTGGGTCGGCTGACTCCAGTCAGCCATCTATAGGCCGATAGGCGCTAATTGGCCAGCCGTGGGCCGACTGGTGCATGCCACCATTTTTGCCCCCCACGATCCCCGCTTATGTCACGGCCGCCACTTCCCGCCAAATTTTTCCGCTTTGCTCGTTCCCGCCATATTTTTCCGCTTTGCTTGTTCTCGCCATATTTCCCCGCTTTGCTCGTTCCCGCCATATTTTCCTGCTTTGCTCGTTCCCGCTTTGTAATTCCCGCCATATTTTCCCGCTCTCTAGTTCCCGCCAGTATCTCCCGCCATATGTTCCCGCTACCGAGTTCCCGCCTTTCTTTGTGTTCTCAACCTATAAAACACCCTCGGCACTAATGTTGGTAAGCATTGTAGCGTAGTCTCGTAGTCTCGCCAAGATGTCTGGATATCCTTTTGATCGTAGTTTTCACACTGGTATGTCTGAATGTCTTTTGCGTTTAGCCGCTGATTTCAGGGTTGACAACATATTAGTTCTGTGGGAAGAACTCATCAGTAGTGACACCCGACTGAATGAGCTGGCTCACGCATTAAGTAGGTGTGGGTGGCCTTCCAGGACCTTTGAGGAGATTCGGAAAGAACTTCTGAGGTTGCATGTAAGATACCTAAAGTGTGGAAGGTACCTAAACATTGGAGCATAACATACTTATTTATGGAGTGCCGACGGTGAGGATGAAGATGATATCTTCATGCCGCCGCTTCCGGGTTCTGCATCGTCGAAGGGCAAGAGTTCTTCATCGTCGAAGGGCAAGATTTCTTCATCGTCGAAGGGCAAGAGTTCTTCATCGTCGAAGTGCAAGAGCTCTGCATCGATGGAGGATGACGGTGATGACTTCATGTAGTTTTTATGCGGTATGTTGTAAGTTAAGTCGTACGTACCGTTTAATTTAGATGTAGTTCTATCTAGTTGTTTGTACTGTCTTGTTGTACGAGCATTATGTTCTATCTAAATATGATGTTGTAGTTCGGATAACAGAGTACTAAAATAGACTAGGCATATGTCTCATACATAAGTACATAATCATTTGTCTCACACATAGAATATACATAAGTCTCATACAAAAATAGATGGTAATGTCTCTACTGATAGATAGAAGCGTTAGTGACGACGTCTGTCTTGGCGGGGAGGCGGATCTACAGGCGGCAGCCATCCCAACCTGTTGGGTGCCCTAATGTTACGAGGAGGAATCTCAGACTCTCCCTGGTCATATTGTGTATCCTGTGCGGGGCCTGGTGGAGGAGTCGAAAACATGTTCATCCACTGGGTGTGCTGCGACATCTGAGCCTATATGTTCTCCTCGGGATGTGGATCACTCCCCCATGTATCATGTGATGCCGACATAGACGCCTGATATCCGTAGGCTCCTGCACAATGGAACGTTAAGTCATGAAGAATGAGGTATTGAAAACAATAAATATGAAGACACATACCTGCTGTGGAGCATCCAAGAAGTATCATAGCTCGAGTACGTATCCGACGGAGTAGGATCAGGTATCGCCTCTGGGTGAGAGTTCTCAACGATGCGTAACCGTGTTCCGGTCATGTAGCTCCGCAAATAGAGATTGAATTCATTAAGATCAAAATTGTGATTCTCGCGCCATAGATGTGTGTTTGTTGTCTCCCATTCTATAACATATGGCTCTAGTCTGACTAGCCAGTCAGCAGCTATCCTGGTCATGCCCTTCCTTGTCGTCCTAAAATTGTTGTGTGTTCAACAATTACCTAATGCTTCGAATGGAGTACTATGAAAGATAATGCAACATTGAAAAACTGGTTAATACATGTGAATGTGTGCTGGCATCGGGTTCTCTGTAGGAGGAGGCAGCTCCAACTGCAGAAGACCAAATTGCCTCATAATCCTATTTTGTGCCATCTCCTCGATGAAGACATCGAAGATGATCTTCGATTTCGTCATTCAGTAATCTCGGTCCCTTGTGCATAGCACAGACATACCACCAGGGTATCTCGCATGTATGGCTGCTTCCGTGTAGCTGCCAGATGACCCCATTGTACGCATTGTACGCATCGAACTGCTTGTCCAATGCCGTTTATGCCTTCCTGGTCTGATCACTAGCAAATCATCTCTACAGAAAACAAAAGTTAGTAGCCACTAGCATTGAATTAGCTCTTGTGCATAAAAAAGTTGCATTAAACTATAACATGATACATACCTCGCGACATGTCCAACATAGACCGAAAGTAGGCATGTCGATGCCGTCAGCATCAAACATGGCGTCTATAGGCTGATGAACGCATACATCTGGTCGCCCTATAAAGAACCTCTCCCACGACCACATCTGTAGGAATAGAGGGCATCCAAGAAGGGCTGGCTTTTTCGATGTAAGCTGGCAACCGTTGCACATACCTCGGTATGTAGCCGCTAAGACTGCTGAACCCCAACTCCTCTGTCTGATTTGATCCGTCGTCTGAGCGCTCTCTATCTCTAGTGCCATAGGGATGTAGAGCGCGCTAATAGTGGTGACATGGTTCTCTGTGAACATCACCTTGCCGAAAAGCCACATTAAGTAGGCATCAAAGCTTCGAGTGATCTGTTCCGCACTCAACGGTGCCCGGAACTTCTGGATCTGCATTAAACAAAGAGAAAGTTTTAGTAAGCCACATGTATTTTCTGTAAAACCATATGCACGATAACTAGAAGATAATAGGTATGGGAACTAACCTGGAAATTGAGCAACCAATTATACTTAGGTCCGTGATGCTCGCATACCGGATCCGGAGCACTCGGAAAAACACCATGAAAACGTTGTGTAAGACCTAGCTCCCAACCAACCGGTGTGTCCAACGGTCCTATGGCATGACCTGCCAACGGTAGTCCGAGAAAAAGTGACACATCCTCTAGAGTAGGAGCCATCTCTCCCCATCGGAAGTGAAACGTATGGGTCTCTGGCCTCCAACGGTCCACTAAGTAGCTCAACAAAGTGGAGTCGATGGTGAGGCATTTCTCACCCGGGATAGACTCAACCAGACGCGCGAAAGGTAAAAGACCGACCCATTTCAACCTTCATCAGAGAACATTTCAGTTAGTTTCTCCCATTATTATGCATGTCAGTGTGCAAATTATTAAATCACGTACCGCTGAACCAATCCTGGGTGTGTCATCCAGTTCTCCTTAGGAGTGCGAGTGACCAGAGGCTCAAGCTTGTGCCCATACCATATCGCAGCACGATGACCCCTATCAATGTCCCCATTCAGCAACCACATTCCCGACATTCCTGCACATAAAAAATTCAGAATATAGTGCCACACTTAATACAAATTCAAAATATAGTGCCACACTTAATACAAATTCAGAACATAGTGCCACACTTAATACAAATTCAAAATGTAGTACCACACTTAATACAAATTCAGAACATAGTGCCACACTTAATACAAATTGGGAACATAGTGTTACA